TACACACATATACATATATATATATATATATATATATATATATATATATATATATATATATATATCATATCATATCTCTCTCTCTCTCTCTATATATATATATATCTCTCTCCGCACTATAAACAACAGGTCACTTACCACGTAAATAGAAAGACAGATAGTGATGAATAAGGAATGATGCATCAGCTCGTCTGTCTGACACTAGGATAAAGTCACTCTACAAGTACAGAAAACATCGGTTAGACTCTATGACATCTAGTAAGTTACATCAAGCTTGTAAAGGGATGTAATTACCGATTTGAAACTGTCTGGAGTGGAATTGAGAATACTGTTCAATTCTGGAAACATGTTTGTGAGGTAAGAGATTAACTTTACTACAGTTGAGCAGGATATGCTGCTCTCTCCTCTCTATTTCTCCAGATCTTCTTCAGTATTTCTCATGCTGTTAAGAAAAACACGACTGTAAATGAAAGCAAAGCATTTAAAATGCATACATTCCTGTGTATATGCAGCGCAGTTCGCATGCTAAATTAATATTAGCGTTGTCTAAGTATTCAAAGTATCGAAAATACGAAGAGAACATTAAAATAATAATAATAACGTACCTGCACCGTCTGCAGTTACATCGTTTTCTTTAAAAATATATACAAATAAATACGAAGAAATATTTCACGCTTGCCTGTTATGCTAGTCAACGTGGGTACGGAAACCGCATAAAGGACAATCTTTCCGAAAACGCGTTTCGGTAGAGAGGATTTTTCCCCCCTTAAATCAGTGAAAAAAATATAAAAATATATTTTTTATGTATCCTTTAAAAAACTGGTAGATATACCCAACCTTAAAAATATTTATTTTTACCAGAGATAAAAACGCTGCACGTGCACCAAAGACAGGCCCAGATAGTGTTTCATTATAAAAATATATGTAAAAAATATACAAACAAGAAAACTCGGGGACAAACTGTTGATCTTTCACCATACATAACGTGTGCTTGGGCCTGCTTTTAGATAGAACTCTAAGCATTTGCTTTCAACACACTGAAATAGAACAAGTAATTCTGCCTGTTCAACTTTACAACAAAATTGTAACCATAACTTGCTTTAGGCCTAAAACTAATTTCAACAGATTATCAATGTTTTTACCTATAAAGCACTGCTGATGACATCTTATACAACAGAAATTCTAAATACATAAAAACTGAGAAAAATATAAGGGGAAAACATTGTCTTGACTACATGAATCACCCATAAAATAAATAGTATAATGACCTCCAAAAATCTTAATATTCTTGGATTTAGATGGAAGAAAACTGTACATTTTCAAATAAGTTTTGCACAGCAATGGTAATGCAAGCCCTTGAAATTCAGTTCATGGAATGTTAATCATCAGCTGTGTACCTGGAAAACATGTCATAGATAATGCAAAACATTTTTTCTATGCAAAGATAAGCTTTAGAACACTTGAGGTCTAGTTCCATAAAATTTCGTTCACATTTTAAACTTGACATACAAAGACTGAACACAACTGATGATATAACTTCACTGAAGGACTGACTGTAAAAGCTGTTAACATCTATAAACAAAGCAGCTGGGAAATTGTACAGGGAGAGTCGAAACAGGCACATGGACCAGACCGTGAAACGCAAGCAAAGACATGTTGCATACTTTTTAGAGCACAAAACATTGAAATGCAAATCGCGATTTAGTGTCTAACAGAACAAAAGAAGAAAAAAAGTGAAACAACCATAGCTCATTCTTGTACTCTGAATGGAGTAAATTATCTTTATAAACAGCTAAAAGTATTATAATACATGAAAGAGTCTGTTTTCTAAGTAAATACATAGCTACTTTGATTATCACACCACCAGATGCCGATTGCATCAATAAGACATGCCTCACTGCAGGAGCAGGTCAATGTTACACAAAGATGAATAATGTCTAGTATTGTCCTTTATATGATATACTGTCAACCTTCATTCTAAATTTTATGTCACTATTTTAGGAATGTTCTAAGTTCAAGTTAAGCTCTACTGACAGCATTTGCAATTACAATTATGACGACCTTCAGTTGTTGTTGTTTTTTTAAAGAAACAAAAACCGTGGTTATAATACGGCACAACATTGAACCAGGCAAGAAACATTCAGCTAGTAAACCCAGACATTTTTGCACAACATTTTCAGGGTTCACTGACCCTGAAAATCTTTTAAAAAGGCAGATTTTGCATCTCAAATAATAGATTTCTTACTGATTCATTAATGCAGGTGATTTAACAAAAATATCAGCTTCACCAGAACACTGTCCCAGTTTATTTTTATCGAAAGTGCATTACTATAACCACAACTTGCACTTTAAAAAAAAAAAATAAATGATGTATATTGAACCCAGAACGTTTCTTTAAGTACACTATGGTGCATACTAACTGTATAGTATGCATTCGAGGTGCATAACGGGGCTTGATTGAAAAGCATTATCACTAAATCTTCCATAGCTTGCACTGCTGTATGTTAAAAAGACACGCCTGGTCTTCCAATTCTGTCAATCTGAGCAGCTCAGCATCGCTGTGGCCACCTAAATATAACTCATGCTACATCTTTGTAGAGGTTTGTACAGAAACTGAATGCTATGAGTAAAAAAAGGATAAAAACAAAGTTATGATTTACAATAAATAAACACAATGTCACACTCCAGGCACACACAGTATGTAATTCCTGAGTGTTTATCGAAAGTGCATTACTATAACCACAACTTGCACTTTAAAAAAAATAAATATTGAACCCAGAACGTTTCTTTAAGTACACTATGGTGCATACTAACTGTATAGTATGCATTCGAGGTGCATAACGGGGCTTGATTGAAAAGCATTATCACTAAATCTTCCATAGCTTGCACTGCTGTATGTTAAAAAGACACGCCTGGTCTTCCAATTCTGTCAATCTGAGCAGCTCAGCATCGCTGTGGCCACCTAAATATAACTCATGCTACATCTTTGTAGAGGTTTGTACAGAAACTGAATGCTATGAGTAAAAAAAGGATAAAAACAAAGTTATGATTTACAATAAATAAACACAATGTCACACTCCAGGCACACACAGTATGTAATTCCTGAGTGTTTGAGTCTTTGGGTTCACTGCTACGGCGTGCCCTCGGAGGTGGCTGTGATATCTGCGGCTTCTACTAATGTTACTGTTTCTCCTGTCGTTGAGTCAAGGGGCTCCTCTTTAATGATGATGGCCCCTTCTGGCAACATGACAACTTCCTCTTCACCAACCACCTCCTCCTCTTCCTCTTCCTGGAGCACCACTTCCTCTTGGGGCTCTGTGCTGGTGCCATTGGTCTGCCCGTTTGCAATGGCCTCTAGTTTAAGCCTGTACTGCTCAGCTTCCTGTTCCTTTTGTAGTAACTGCTGTCTGTACTCCTGGGCTTTTCTGTTTGCTTCCTTTAGTTGCTGTTCCAGTAGTTCCCGACTGTCCTTCTCAGTGGGCTCCTATAGAAAACCCCAAACAGTTTACTTTCAAATTGATTTTGCATTCCAAAAAGTACGATTTAAATGGGAATCTCTGCTCGCCAGACCTTGTGTTTGACATCTGCGTGGTTGACGGTTAATTCAAATTTCCGCTTCCGTGTTGGAACTGGTTTTGTGTCCTCTGTTATGATTTCTTCTGCAATCTGACCCGCTGGCACTGCAACCACTAAATATATACAGGCATGTTAGAATATAAATACTGCATCAAAGTCTGTAAACTATAAACTAGCAATCTACTCACTTTGCTGCCCCTGCATTGTGACAAAGAATTTCTGTCCCAAGTTGCCAGTCTGCAGGTTTCCCTGTTGGTCGGTTACTATGGTGATGACTCTCTGGCCATCCTCCCCTACAAGATGCTGGATGGCAGAATCTACCGAATCAGCAGCAATCACACTCTCTGCAGCTCCTGCTGGGATATAGCAGCAGTTTGTTTGCAAAGGAGAAATACACAAATATTACTTATAATACACATTTTCTATGTGCATTCAGTTCAAATAAAACATTACATAAAATAAAACTGGTTAATTAAATACTGCTGCAAAATGTCAATGTCAAAATGAACATTCAACAAGCACAAAATGCAAGAAAAATATGCTTTAGTGAGTAAATAAAATGCCAGTTGGCTGGTACTTGTTAAGAGTTGTGATTCATAATTCATAACTGATTTGAATGTAAAGCATAATTCAAATCAAAGTCACACAAACCTGCTAAAGAAACGTTGCACCTCATGCCTTGTCTAAATTGTACCCACAAAAATCAACAGGTTTACAAAGAATACCTAAAGTGTTTGTTTTGTTGTTGTTAATCATGTGGCAAAAGTTTAATGTTCTTTATGTATCGTTAATGTTGTTGAAATTAGTCTCTTATAAAACTATTATTGTGAAATAATATTACAATTAAAAATAGCTTTTCTATTTTAATATATTTTATTTTTAAATTCTTTATTTTTATATATTTAAAGTTAATTCATATGATGGCAAAGCTGAATTTTCAGCAATTCTTTTCTTTGAGTCTTTTAGTCTTCAGTGTCACAATCTTTCAGAACATTTTCTAATATGCTGATCTTGTGCTCAAGAAATATCTGTTATTATAATCAGTGTTGAAAACAGTTGTGCTGCTTAATATTTTTGTGTAAACTGAGATACTTTTTAAAGGATTGCTTAATGAATAGAAAGTTTTAAAAAATTGTAACATTATAAATGTCTTTAATGTCAGTTATAATCAATGTAAAGCGTCCTTGTTAAAAAAAAATTATAATTCCTTTCAAAATTTCTTACTGACCCCAGTCTTCTGAATGGATTGTGTAAGTGGAAAAAACTCCTTGCATTAAGCCAACAAATTAAATATACTAAGGCAAAGAAATTATGATTTATATGATTTTTGACAGGGCAGGTGGAGAGAAAAGGTTGCCACAGCCATTATTATAGGGACAAAAACATATTTTTTTCAATTAAAACTATGTAAAACAGAATTTCATCTCAGATAATTCTGCCATTTACTCATTATTGACAAGCATGAAAACAAAATGTAATGAAACTCATACCTGTGTTAGCCTTAGCATTAGTGAGAACAATATCAGAGAGATTGACCACTCCAGAGGAGGAGATGATGAACTGAGGGCTGGCGGTGGCGGGTGACGTGCTGCTTAGGATAGTCCTCTCTGGATTCATGTTCACTTGGTTCTGCATTCCCTCCTAGAATAGCAAACAAACCATCAAGTTATGAGACTGCAGCCTTGATTTTGCCTATAAACGATTTTAAATACACAACGGTGAATTTTACATTATGTTTTGACAATGATATGATGACAATGATAATCAACACGTCATTAAAATGCAATCTCATTTTTACCTGTAACAATAGCATCAGCTCAGTGTTTCCTCGGTCCACCGCAATGTTAAAAGGTGTCTTGTCAAACTTGCTGAGGGCGTGAGTATCAGCGCCGTTTTTGATCAACAGCTCCATGACTCCCCTGTGCCCATGTTCCGCAGCCCAGTGCAGGGCGGTCATTTTCAGCATGTCTTTGGCATTGATGTCTGCTCCACTCTGTCCCAGATATAACAGATATTATATCTCAACTAAAAAGTCAGAATGTCAAAATCTAAAAAAAAACTCATGCTGTTCTGCTTTCATCAGTTATTACCTTGACCAACAATTCAACAATGCTTGAGTGGCCCTCTGCCGCACAGGACACCGGCCCTCCAGGACCGAGTTTGGACAGCCCTGGGCTAGCTCATCCATTCTCTGCTTTTGAAAACGAAGAGGTTTATGCAAATGCATTTCCTCTAACTTGTTATTTTATTATTTTATTTAGGATAGGACTGCTGAGATTGCAAAATTTCCCAAAGTTCAAGATTAAAATCATATAATCATATAATAACTCATTAAGCATTGAAAATGCACTAGAGCACTAGAAAACTAAGTAATCTCAGCAATTTTATCCCAAAGAGGGAGATTTAATTGGAGTAAAAAAAAAAAAAAGTTGAAGCCTAAACCTCTCAATTTTTATCAGATAATCAACAAATCTATAGTTGAAAGAAAGAGACTTTTTTATTGTACGTACATCAAATATATAGTCTATATCTGTAGCCCGTTGGTGGCGCTGCTGGTCTCTGGAATGAAGTATTTCCTCATATTAATGGGGAAACTTCAACCACACCTCAGTGATCTGGGAAACACGGAGTCACTTCCACCCTCAGCTCTCCACACAAGAGTTGCTTCACCTCCAGCCGCTCACTGGGGCTCTCGTTTTCATCAAAGGTACAGTTTTTCTTTCTATTTTAATTTATGCTAGAAAATAAAATAACTTTTCCGAGACTCGATTGAACTTTATTAATTCATTTGAGCCGCTAACATGGCCCGGGATCGGTCGAGCCGGTTTGTTGTGCCAAACTTTCAGTTGTAGTTGAGTTTGAATAGGTCCAGCGCCTGTGTGCTTGAGTAATAAAGACGATAAAGATAAGCGATGGACGCTGATAGTCTAGTTAACTTCAGTCGGATGACTCTCGGACAACTTATTCATCGAGGTTCTGCGAGTTAAAACTAGTTGAGGAGAGGAAAAAATATATATATTTTTTTAAACGTTTACACACTGTTTTATTGTTTTCCTGTTAGTTTTTTTCTGCTTTCGGCTGAGTGGCTTGTTTCGTTGTAACGTTTGTAATTCATGTTTACTTGTTTACCGAGTCCATTCTAGGTGTGTTTGAGTAGTTGTCATTGTAACGGGTTTGTTATAGTGTTGGGTCGTTCTTGAACGATTCGTTCGTTTTGAACGAATCTTTAATGTGACTCGGGAAGAACGAGTCGTATCGGGGAGCGATTCGTTCAGTCGCGCATGCGCAACATCCTATAGGTTCTGTACTGGAATTAGTTAAGTAGTTCACCTGGATCGATTCTTCGGGTTTTTCCGAGTCGTTCGTTCATCACGTGACAGCCCCATAAGCTTTAACCAATGCAGTCTGAGCCGGAAAGAGAATTGATTAGTTCATCTCGAGTCTTCGGGTGTTTTTCGAGTCGTTCGTTCATCACGTGACAGCCCCATAAGCTTGTCAGATAAGAGGTGGTGAGCTAATCATAGACTGAAGACTCAGGTAAACAATTAATTAATATTTTCTGTTTCTTATAGCAGTTTTGTATTGTTTGTAGTGTGATCAACGTTTGCGTAAGTAGTAGACATATTAGGGAAGTAACACATAACATTTTAATTATATTTTGTTAAAATGAACGAAATGACTCGAAAAAAGATTCGTTCATTTTGCTGAACGAGACTCAAAGGTCCGAGTCGGTAAAATGATCCGAACTTCCCATCACTAGTTTGTTATTACACTGATTTTCCTTTAGTTGTAACGGCACTATAAAGTGAATTCAATGCCCAAGAAAGCGGCTGTCTCAAACAAGTAAACTGCCTTCCTAGACAGCATAAAGAGCCATACTGTCTAGTTAGGGAGTTCAGCTCAAAGTTGAACACTGCCACAAAGATTAGTTTCTGTTAATATTTTTTATTTATTAAAAACTGCCATGTTAGTACTTCGTTTTTCGATATACCACTGTAATACCATGCTATTCATTGATTTTAATTGGGGCACCATATTAATACCAACATGAATATTTTAATCATTCAGCACAATTGTATATTTCAAAGTACCATGGTATTACAATATGATGTATATGGTAATATGTAGTACTTCTTCTTCATTACAAGCTGTTTTTGAAGTTAATTGGAGTACTATCATGTAAATGAATATGGTAATTGTTCAGTTCCATATTGTATATCTCAGTGCCAAAGAAAGAAGTTACAAGATGGTATTCCTTTTCTTTAATTTAAGATTTGCGTCATTCATAATCAATGTCACTTACTGTTTTGTTTGCAGCGAGTTAAATGTATAATATATGGTGTGCTTGTATGATGGATTCAGGTCTACTTCATTACAAATTCTTTTTTTTTTTTCTTTCTTTCATTGAACAGATTCGTCTGTAACAGCTCTGGCTTGTATAAACCCCACAGTCCCACAGATTCAACTGGAAATCAGGGGCCCAGAATAACTGCGGGAATAAGGGGTATTGTGTATATATACTTAAACCAGAGACATCAACAAGGATTCTGTCAGTGATCAGGACGGAGATTTTTGGACGAGCCAAGGCTTATATCGCTGAGTGTTGAGGATTAGATTCTCTATCTTGTCTCTAAATGGCCTGCAGGGTGGCGAGAGAGAGGGGGGAACCCAACCGGTGCATGCCGGAGATGAGTGCGTTCTGGCATAAGATCGGCTGCTGCGTGGTAGCCAAACCTCCTCCGGTAAGTGTCTCATTTGGAGAGATTTATAGTTTTATTTCCCAGGCTTCCATCATAAGGAATCTACATGAATCACAGGTACTGTGATATCAGGCTTCTTTTGAGAACAACATCTGGACTAATTTCATCAATTAGGCATTCCCCGTGGCTCATGCGAGTTTTGTGTTCGCTAATCACGCGAAGAATGACTCACGCTGGTCAAGGGCAGAAAAGAAACCTTTCAGCTGATGTGAATGTGACCCAGATAGTCTTAGGAGTTTGTCAGGAGTGCAAATGTGTTTTTGAGAGTGAAGCCAGACGTAAAACACAGATGGACAAAGAATGCTCTGTCATTGAACGGGTGAACGTGTAGAGGTATGGATCCAAACCACTTTGCATGTGAGGGAAGTCTGATAAATGTGCCCACACATGCATATTTCATTTTTTATCAAGAATATACTCTACAGTTCAAAAGTTTGGGGTCAGTAAGATTTAAAAAAAAAGAACTTTTATTTGGCAAGGATGCATTAAATTGATCAAACACAACATTATGAACATTTATAGCATTGCAAAAGATTTCTATTTCAAATAAATGCTGTTCTTTCAACTTTCAGTTCATTAAAATCCAGAAAAAAATCGTTTCCACAAAAACACTGTTTCCGACATTTATTAATAAGAAATGTTTAAGCATAAAATCAGCTTATTAAAATGTTTTCTGAAGGATCATGTGACACTGAAGACTGGAGTAATGTCGAATATATTGAAATGCAAAACAGTTGTTTCGAATTGTAATAATATTTTGTGTTTTTGATCAAGTATAAGAGACTTCTTTAAGATATAAAATAATTTTACCGACCCCAAACTTTTGAACAGTAGTGTATCATGTGATTATTCTTTTTTTAAGCTCAACCAAAAAATAAAAATTGTCATCATTTACTCTCCCTCATGTTGTTCCTAAACTGTATGACTGACTTTCTTAATTGGAACATAATAGAAGTTTAACATGTTGACTCCTAAACTTCATGCAATGAAATTAGTGACCACCATCTGTCAGACTCCAAAACAAAGAAAAAAGCACTATAAAAGTACTGCATATGACTCGCATACTATATCTTCCTATACTGTATTCATACCATAATCATCATCATCATATATACTTTATTTGTCCCTTTAAGGGAAGTTTGTTTTGGGCAATACAGGTAAAGATATCTTGTATAATTGTATTATAGGAATACTATACTATAAGTTTTCTAAAGCCATATGAAGTTGCTTTTGTCTAAAATTGTTGTTTTTTAGCTCTCAAATCTCATTCATGTTTGTGCATATTCAAATGTGGCACCACAAAATGCATTGTACCATGTTTGACCTCAAAAGTTACTGCTTCTTGCACATCTTGATCATGATGTGGCAAGTTTGAAAAGCAGTTTTATTTGAATAATGACTTCAATATCGGTCTGTTCCTCACACAAAACAATTGCATGGCTTTTAAAGACTTTGAATATAGAGCATGAGTCATATGGATCTCTTTATGGTGCTCTTATGATTCTTTTTGGCGCATGACAGTCCCTGGCGGTCTACTTTCATTTCATTGGAAAATCCCAAGTTTGGACATTCAGACATTCTGCTAAACATCTCCTTTTGTATTGCATGAGCAAAAGGAAGTCAGAGTTTGCTAAATGATAGCAAAAATTTATTTTGGGTTGGACTTTCCCTTTAATATTCCTGTAAGTAAAAGAATCATGTTTATGTTTCTAGAATAGCTTTGCATATTTGACAAATTAGTGGTTTAATTCAATCTTTGTTAGTCAGTTTGTTTTCATCTGGATTGAGGTTCTGAGCCAATGATGAGTGACCCAGGTTTACCATGGTCTCCTGTAACAATGACAGGGGGTTCTGAAGGGAAGCTGGCTCCTCCGAGCTGGGAGTGCTCATTCTTTTCCTCCCTCCTTCCTCTTATTATTTTTAGGTTCTTGTTTGTTCTGTTGTTGGGTGGGGGGTGAGGTCAGACAGCAGTGGGCATCTGTAACCGACCAATGCTACTTCCCAGTGCAAGAGCAATTTTCTTCAACTGATTTAGATCAAATTATTATGTTTAAAGTGTCTCCTTACATCAGAGAAGGTGATAAGGACTAAAGCATGTGCCAAGGGTTTGCTATGATATGGGCCATTGACTATACAAAGATTATGAAAGTAAACACCTTCAAGGATGTCTGGAGTTACATAAGACATGTTGCATTCGAAAAACTAAATTTAACTTGTAACTGTTTTCAACCTGAAAAGCTTGGTCCAGAGCAGAAAAATACAAAGAACTTTCTTTCGTTCTTTCTTTCTAAATAATAATAAATATAATATTCTTTCTAAATAATAATTAATGGCAATATATCTAATGAACACTTTGAGGTAAAATCTTGAATTAAAGATATAAAAGGTACATAGTTTAACAACAGTAAGAAATAATAAAAACAATAAAAGGTACATGGTTTAACAACAAGCAATAATAAAAACAATAAGAATAGTGTTTTTGTTTATAATTTATTATTGCTATTATTATTATTATTATTCATAAGATAGAAAACCTTTTATTCTCAAGCGGTACCTCAAAGTGCCCAAGAGATTTGTCGTATTGACTAATTGTTTTAAATAGAAAGAGTATTACCACTATTTCCAAATAACTATTTATATAATATAGTATAATAAAATATATGATAATAATGTTAAAAAATTATAATCGTTATTTTTAACAACATACAGGTGCATCTCAATAAATTAGAATGTCGTGGAAAAGTTAATTTATTTCAGTAATTCAACTCAAATTGTGAAACTCGTGTATTAAATAAATTCAATGCACACAGACTGAAGTAGTTTGAGATGCACCTGTACATACATTAAAAAGAAATATTTATAGTCCTATTTTATGTAAAATTGTACCTCATATTTTTCATTAGATTTGTCATATGGATGATTATTTAATTATATTGAGCTTATTGCTATTATTTAGAAAGAAGTAACGATTTATGTAATAATAATCTTGACATTAAAAAAAACATTATTATTATTATTATTAGTGATAGTAATTTTAACACCAACCAAACGATCTGAACACTGACATCAAATAAACTCTGGTCTGTTTCAAAAACTAGTGTAAGATTTTAAGTAAGTCTAGAAGATATATTTGATGATTGACAATATAAATCCAGTGCTATATGTTGTGTAAAATGCACTTTGTTCACTCTGGACAGACAAGTAATGGCTCGTATGCCAACACCCCTGCTATGGCACATGATCTCATCAAATAATTATTCTGGTTGTTGATACAAGGTTTTTGTTTTTTTTTTAGATTTACTTCTATAATCTCTGACTAACTCTACTGCATAGTTATGGGAAACAAAGAAAAGAAGCTGTAAACTGTACAACAGTTAGGGATTTTTAGGAACTCTGTGAAGAATCCTGCTCATCTTCAGGATGCATCCAGGAATAGATTCCATAGGGAAACATTAGTGTAATATCACCCAGGCACTGGTGTGGTTGTTGTATGGTCACATGACAGGCTTCTTTGAGCTCACTCACTACACTTAGATTTTCAACACCTTTGGATTACGTCATGCTGGTTCACCAATCTGCCAATCAAGTGCTTTGCATCTTTATGCTGGACCTTTGTCAATTTAAGCCTCTATGTTCACAGAAGAAGAAACGGAGGAGAATTGACCGCAGCATGATCGGAGAGCCCACAAACTTCGTTCATCTGACACACATAGGCTCTGGTGAAATGGCAGACGGCATGCAACCGGTAAGACATGTTTTATTACGTTGGTACAGTGGGACTCTCTCATTTTAATGTTTATGGCATGGCTATAATTAATTTACAATGACAGAACAAATGCTTCTGCATGCATTCTTTACTAAACCTCTGAATAATACAGGATTGGCACAGGCACATATTAAAAATCCAAAAAAGGATGCTGGGATTTTTGTAAAAATATACCTGGCACCCATTACCAGACCTTTTGGAAATCACTGTTGTTTTTCTTTTGCCCTCTTTCCCTTTCAATTTTGCCCTCAAATCTGCTGCACCTGCCAGTTGTCTGAACAAGTCATGTTTAAAGGGGTAGTTCACCCAAAAATTACAATTCTATCATTATTTACTCACCTTCATGTCGTTCCAAACCCGTAAGACCTTTGTTCATCTTCAAAACACACATTAAGATTTTTTTTTATGAAATCAAAGAGTTTTCTGACCGTGCAAGAGAAGAATTGTTGAATAAAGTCGTTATTTTTGTTTTCTCTGCGCACAAAGTATTTTCATAGCTTCATAGAATTACGGTTGAACCACTGATGTCACATGGACTATTTTAACGATGTCCTTACTACCTTTTCTGGCCTTGAACGTGGTAGTTCCCTTGCTTTCCATGCAGGGTCAGAAAGCTTTTGGATTTCATCAAAAATATCTTAATTTGTGTTCCGAAGATGAACGAAGGTCTTACAGGTTTGGAACGACATGAGAGTGAGTAATTGATGACAGAATTTTCATTTTTGGGTGAACTATCCCTTTAAATGCTCAACATAATGTTGACGGTTCCCCGATTAAGTGGTCAGCCTGTGCCGATACTTTTTTTTTTCAGTCTTTTTTCTTTATAATAATAAATATTTTTAAATAAAATAAAAAATAGTAATTATTATTGTTAGTAGTAGTAGTTTTAATATATATATATATATATATATATATATAAGTAAGGACATACATTTTAAGACTTCTAATGACCTTGGGAACAGTATTTCCAATTTTATTTTAATTTGTAAAAATAAAAATAACAAAAATATTATCTTTACTATTATTATGTAAAGACTTCATAAATCTCAAGACTATAAATGTATTATAATAGTTGGTTGTAATTTATCATTTATTAATTTAAATGTTTTTTCGTTTGTAAAACATTAACAAACATTTTAATTTTATAATACTGCTACTACTACTACTACTAATAATATTTATTATTATGATGTAAAGGTATTCTAAAGTGTCAAATTTAACAAATCAAATGCATGTTTGAGTAAGGTAGACATGCTGCGTGTGTAAGATGTGATCTTAGCTCATGTTCATTGGGCTGTTGTGTTGTCAAATAAGAAGGCGAGGCGTTACCTAATCCTGCAGCTCACGGAGGGACTGAATACCTGGGCAGAATCAAGCAGACTGCAACTTGCTCAGAGGAATGTTGGCAGGCGGCCCGTCAGGGACAGAATAGAGCTCTTTAAATGAGGAAATGTTCGTCAAGGTATTTGCAGTGGTCACTGATTGATTTTTAAGTGGCAATCTATAGCTTCATGTGTGGTTTGCAAAATGTACAGCTCTTAGTGGAGTCAACACATTTTTAAGAAATGAGCTTTTTAGTCAGTGGTGGCTTTAGTAGTTTTATCAAAGCAAGACAAGCTGGACCTGTTAGCAATGCAGCGCTGATAGCTGAAACTTCCAGTGATAAGCGGTATTGGTTGATATCAGCATTTCATAGTCCATGTGATGAACACAGGTGACCGACCCGCTGGCTTTTCCCTTGTGGTTCTTTTCTTTTGTGTCATGCTGGGAAGTTGTGTATAGAATGACCTAGTGAAATGGACTTCCTCCTCGTTCTGCTGTGAGAAGCAGTGTTCCTGAGACACATGATGTAACAATGGGTATGACGCTATGAAGAGCTCTGTGTGTGTGTGTGAAACAGGCTTGTTGTTGCATGAAGGATTTTTCAGCCCCACCTCTTGAAGTGTGAATTTATTTTACAGTTTATTAGGGGTGTAACGGTACACAAATATGACGGTTCGGTACGTACCTCGGTTTTAACGTCACGGTTCGGTATGGTTTCGGTACAGCAGTGGGGAAAACTTTTTTTTTTTAATTTCCGGAGAAAAAAAAAAAACTGTATTCGTTCGGTTCACATGCGTACCGAACCGAAAGACCCGTACCGAAACGGTTCGGTACGAATACGTGTACCGTTACACCCCTACAGTTTATACATCATGCAGCAATCCAGTCTTTCTATTTAATGAACACTATTCCATATAAAAAACTTCATTTGCAGAGATGACACTCCTTATTTTCAAATTGTATTATTATTATTGTTGTTGTTGTAGTTGTTATATTAATATTAATCCTATTATTATTACTGAATATTATTGTTATTATTATAGTAATGTAATGAGTAAGAAAATATAGTATGATGATGTTGATGACATTATTAGTAGTAGTCATGTTTGCCATATAAAGTATTTATTGTGTAAATACTAGTACTAAAATTATATTTAATTAACAAATTATTATTAATATTATTATTAATTAATAAATAGCTGTTTGTTGTTGCTCCATTAATGTTATTATCATAATTTAAAAGTAATAAGTAAAGAAATATTATAGTAATGGTAATATGGTGACGATATTAGTAGTAGTAGTAGTAATTTTTACTATATAAAGTATTATGTATATAGTACTAAAATGTTATTTAATTTACATACAGTGGGTACGGAAAGTATTCAGACCCCCTTAAATTTTTCACTCTTTGTTATATTGCAGCCATTT